TCATTCCCAATGGCGAAGACAAGGGTTGATGTTGTTGGTGATAAAGAGAGATGATTTTAATGGTGACAACATGCATAATCAAGGTTGTGAAAATCGAACCGGACAACGAATTGGAAGAGGGAGAGGTTCACGGTTCGACCGGTCGAACCGGGGTCGAACCGGATGACGTAATAAATAATAATATTATTAAAAACTAATAAAATAAAAATCATATAATATAAGTATATGGTCATTTAATAATATTTATAAAATTGTAAAATATATAATAAAATTTTATACATATAAATATCATTTAAGAATAATATATTTATAAGAATAACACTTAATATAATATATAAATTTATAATATAAAAAATTTATGATCATTAATATAATTTAAATAATTGAATATATGACCATTTAATAATATTTATAAATTTAAAATATATAAATGGCCAAATTATAAAATTTAAATATCATTTAAAATTTAATATATATTATATATATAATTAAATATATTTATAAGAATATATTTAATATAATATATAAATTTATAATATTAATATTTAATAATATAATAATTATAATATATATTATAGGAATTTATAATACATATCATTCAAATTATAGCCAACTAAAAAAAAATTGAAGCCCAACTAGCCCAAATAAGCTCAAATTCACATTTTATAACTATTCATGCAACATTTTTAGTCCCACATCATAGGGGGAGTTTGAAGATGTTTCCTTGAACCATTTATAAAGTGAAAAGTACACTCTCTTTGTAAAATAAATTATGTGAGTTATCTAAGATAACTTACATGTATTATTTATCATCTTATTTAATAAAAATATTTTAAAGTTTAAAAAAATTTTAATAAACAAAAAATATATTTTTAAATTTTAATTAAAACAAAATAAAATATTTTTATGAATTGGCCGGATCTTTTCAACCTGGACCGGTTAACCGGTTGAACCGCCGGTTCAATCCGGTTTGATCTGTTCTATGTAGAGCTGATTTTGAAGCTAGATCGGACTGTCCACCAGACCGGTTCACAGTTGAACCGGCCGGTTCGGTCTGGTTTTCAAAACAGTGCTAAAGCAACTTTAGAAAGTTGTACAAAAATCATCACAAATAAAACCTAAAATTTAATATTATCCGCTTTGCACAATCTCAACTTAATTTATAATTCAGCCCCTTACTAATTATAAATTTTTTTAAATATTACTTAGAGAGAACTACTTATAAAGAGAGAGAGAGAAAAAAATATTCTGAAACGATTTTTATTGGAATAAAATTTTTGGTTGCCTATTGATCTTTAGTTTTCATTTTAGATATGATATGAGCTCAAACTGACCATTCTTTTTTATGATCATTTTTCATGTATGAACATATTTTTGGGAGGATTTATATATAATATATATATATATATATATAAACCTTGCATCCATATTTTTTTTTAATCATTAAAACATATAAATTTTGTAAATCTTGCATCCATATGTTTATATATAATTATATAATATTGCGATATCTAAACCTAATCAAAGTATGTGTGTACAATGTTAGTTCTAATGTATGTCTGTATTAAGTTATTTATAATGATATTTTTAATATAATACAAAATTATTTCATGTTATATCAGTAAATATAAAAAGTTATATGCTAGGTATGTAAATAATTTTTTTTTTATTACAGAGTTCACAGCTGGAAAGTAGAAGATGTCAGCTTTTCAACTTTCCATGAGTCATCCTATATTTATTGAACTGTTCTTTTGTATTATTACAAAAATCTTATATATATATAATATTTATGTCTATTTTCCCCCAAAAATAAATATTTATGTCTAGCTAATATAGTTTAACGGTCATCATATAATAACGATCACATTTGGATTCATATAGAAAAAAATAAAATAAAAAAGGTAATTCGACCATTTCATTGGGAGGGACTGAACAAGATTTTTTTTCCTAGAAAATTTTTATTTTCTTTCAGTTGAAAATGATATATTTGATTTATTTGAAAGGAATTACTGTCAGGAAAAAAATTGAATATGATATTCTGACGCGACACGTAATTAACAAAGCCACTTATATGCGTGTTGAATGATAAGATTATATATTCATATAGTTGTAATATTTAATCAAATAATGATTTATCATTGATTATAAATGATTCACCTACTTTGGGGACGATATTAATACATGTAGTAAACACAAAATATATGTAACATATTATGTGGTGAAAGTTTTAAGTTCCATAGTCATTTACTTATTTCTTTGATGGTACCCCTTTAAAGAGAGACACTAGATGCTAAAATGTCCAGCATAAATCCATATACTTACATTGGGAGTCAGAGTGAATATTGATGGCAAGAATTACCCCTATAGATGATGGTATACATTGACATTATTTGCGATGGTACGTGTTGAAGTCAACAGACTTTAGTTTAGCTTGGTCATAATGGTCAGAGGGCTGTAGTTTGGTGATAGAGGTTGTTGGATCTTAGTCGAGCAATGGAGGTTAAATGATCATTGTCAGGTAATGATGATTGAAGGACCGTAGTTAGGTGATTGAGGTCAAAAAACTATAATATGATGATCATGTTCGAAGGGTCATAGTTAGGCAAAGGTGATCAAAGGGATGTAGTTGGGTAGTAGTAGTCAAAGGGATGAAGTTGGGTAATAGAGGTCAAAGGGCCTTAGGCAATAGCGGTCACAGAAAAATACTCAGGCCATGATGAGCAATGAAGTTTAAAGGACGGCAATAGAGTAACAGTGTTGAAGCTCCAAAATTCCAAAAATATGTGTCATATCCTATAAAATTTTTTTGGGTGATTTAAAATTCAAACATAGTCCGATCGTAGGCGTAGAGAACCCGGATCACGTTAAAAGTGTTAAAATTGAGTTTAAAACAATGAAAAATGATCCTATGAACTCCAAAAACATCCAATTTGGTCTTTTTGGGGTTGAAATTGGGCCCAAAATTGTGTTGGGATGGGCCTTGCCGTCGGACGGCATCGGGCGCCGTCGAAGCCGCTGCCACCGCCAGCGGAGCCGCCCGCTTGGCCCGCACGCTTTGGCCCGCCTAGCCTGGTTCTCTCGGGCCGCCTACGGCCCGTGCCTGACCCGGGCATGCCGGCCCGCCTGGGCCTGCGCTGGCCTGTCAGCCGGCCGTAGTTAGCCGTTTGACAACCGCTGGTAGTAACCGCCAGCTGTTAAAATTAATTTTTTTTCTCTCTCCCATAACTTCCCCAACTTTGCCAACTTCCCCCTCACACCTATACCGGTAGAAATTCAACGTCATGTAGAAGCCAGACGAAAGTCCATCGACGGATAATAGTCTGATGACGGGTAGAAATTTGGCATAGGGTAGAAGTCCAACAAAAGTCTGGAGACGGGTAGAAGTCCGACGATGTGTAAAAATTCAACATCGGGTAGAAGCCAGATAATAATCCAACGACGGGAAGAAGTCTGACGATGGGTAAAAATTCAACGTCGGGTAGAAGCCCGATGAAATTCCATCAAAGGATAGTAGTCTGACGAGGGGTAGAAATTTGGCGTCGGGTAGAAGTCCAATGAAATTCCATCGATGGGCAGTAGAGTGTAGAATTTATCAAAGATATATGACCCATCCGAGGTTGTATGTCAGACCATTTGCTTGATGATGTTAACTTATATGGATGAGGCCGAGAGGATCCACCGAGAATGTATGACATATCCGAGGTTATATGTCCGAGCCCTACTCGATAACGTTAACCTGTGTGGAAGAGGTAGTGAGAATCCACTAAGGATATATTCCATATCCGAGATTGTATATCATAGCCCTGCTTGATGACGTTAACATGTGTGGAAGAGGTTGAGAGAATCCACCAAGAATATATGATGCGGCGGAGCACGCTAGTTCGCTCGAACTAACGGAACATGACACCCATAATAACAAACTCATACGGTGCCCACTACCCCATTTTATCTTTTTCCTTACACTTTGTTATTTTCGGTTACTTGCTGCTTTAGTAGACGTTTTACAAGCTGGACTAGATATAGTATAAAGAAATGAGAGGGAATACATATACCTCACAGATAGTAGTTGTACACAGTTTTTACATATTTTTAGAAATACTTACAGTTCTCGGTTACAGAACTTGGGCTTGTTATGTTTTCTTTGTGCTTGTGTTCTTTGCATGTGACAAACGTTTGCATCATCTGGTATCAGAGCCAGTGCTCGGAGGGGATGGCGGATCACGGCAAACTACCGGTCACCAACGAAGTTCCAAGCCTGGACACACTCTGGGCAAACCAGTCTAATATGAATCGCCAGTTGGACGATCCCGTAGAAGACATGCAACGGGTGACAGTTGAAGTTCGCTGTGAGTTTAATCTCTTAAAGGAAAGACTTCCACAATATCCCCCTGCAAGGGAGGGAACGCCTGCAAATAGCCAAAGACCTTTGAGGATAGAAGCTCCACTCTGCATTGGCTGATGAAACCCATTATTTTCACAGGAAATGTTAGATTCAGATGAAGAATGGTAGGAGTATCAGAGAGCTGGTGAAGAAGAATCCAGAGAAGAAGGTGGTGAAGTTAGAATCCCACAAGAGTCATTCAAGATAGGCTGGAGTTAAACTCTGTTTGGTCTATGTCGCAAGCAGTCACTTCACCTTGAAGGCGGAAGTGCAATAAAATAGACAACCAAAAAATGTCACGGATCATCGTCATTGGCAAGAACCACTATACAACAACAAAAAGAATAATCCGTCCACCTCGAAGACTCCCCCTAATGCTACTTCCATTGCAACACCTTCAATTCCCATTCCCAATGCCAATTATGAACCCAAGCAGCAATTGAAGAATCGGCTAGCTACTAAGGAGAACCCTTATACCAAGCCATCCATGTTCAAGTGTTTCCGTTGTTTCCAATTGGGGCACAAATCTAATGAGTGCCCACAATGGTGACAAATCCAACTGGCCTAATGTGAATAAGAGGGAGAACCAGCTGAAGCAAAGGTGGAGACTGAAGTAGGCATGGAAGATGTTCTAGCTGATGATGGTGAGCCATTGATCTGCATCCTAGAAAAGATGTTGCTAGCTCCCCGACAATCTAGTAACTCTCAAAGCCATGCTATATTTAGAACCCAATGCACTATCAATGGCAAGGTCTGTGATCTATTAATTGACAACGGATGGACAAAGAATGTGATATCTCGAGCCGTGGTACAAAATATGCAATTGAATACCTCCAAGAATCCTAATCCTTATAAGATAAGTTGGGTGAAGAAAGGTATGGAAATAAGTGTCACGGAATCTTACGGAGTGACCTTTTCCATTGGAAAAAAATATGTGTGTGATGTGTTGTGCGACGTCGTCAAAATGGATGTTTGCCATCTCATTTTTGGGAGGCCATGGCAGTTTGATGTGGGTGCTACTTACGATTGCAGAGCACATGTATATGCCTTCGAGTGGAAAGGTAAACGACTCCGTCTCTTACTCAACTCCCCAGAATTTAAAGCTCCACACTCTGAATAAGCAAAACAGGCGGCCTTGGATGTAGTGAATGGGTCTACATTGCTTCATTGCTGGCAGGAACCTACTCCTTTGTATGCCTTAGTAATAGCATAGCCTAACACAGCAACTCAACAAAAGGAGATCCCCACAGACATTCAATTCTTGCTGTAGCAGTACCAAGATATTGCACATGCTGAATTACCCACTGGGTTACCGCCTCTCAGCAACATACAACATCAGATTGATTTACTCACTGGCTCATCTCTACCTAATCTCCCCCATTACAGGCTTAACCCGAAAGAGCAGAATATTCTCCAGGGATTAGTTGAGGAATTACTGGAAAAACAATTGATTCAGATAAGCAGGAGTCCTTGTGCAGTGCCGACACTCTTAGTTTTGAAGAAAGGTGGAAGTTGGAGAATGTGTATCGATAGCCGAACCATCAACAAGATAACGGTCAAATACATATTTCCCATACCACGTATTGAAGAATTGCTTGATCAACTCACGGGTTTGTCCATTTTCTCAAAAATTCACCTTCGCGACGACTATCATCAAATTAGGATACGGCTAGGGGATGAATGGAAAACGGTGTTTAAGACTCCACAAGGAATATATGAGTGGAGGGTCATGCCCTTCGGGCTGTGCAATGCCCCTTCTACATTCATGAGAATGATGACATAAATCCTTAAATCATATATGGGTAAATTTTGTGTTGTGTATTTCGATGACATTCTAGTGTATAACACTGATTGGGAGTACCATTTAAATCATTTACACAAACTTTTTGAAGTTTTAAAACAGCAAAATTCTATTTATCAATATGCCCAAATGTGAGTTTGCTGCTAAAAAAGGTTTCTTTCCTTGGATTCACAATATCAGAGGAAGGTGTTCATATGGATTCCACAAAGGTAGCTGTGATCCTGGACTGGCCGACACTGACTACTTTTTTTGAAGTTCATAGTTTTCTTAGCCTGACTAATTTTTACCGCAAGTTTATCAAGAATTTCAGTTTGCTAATGGCTCCCGTCACTGAATGCTTAAAGTCCAAGGAATTCCGGAGAGGGAATGAGCAACAATTAAGCTTTGAAGCAGTTAAAAAGGCTATTAGTTCAGCCCCAGTGCTTTCTCTTCTGAACTTTGACAAATTATTTATTGTGGACACAAACGCCTCCTCTCTTGGTGTAGGCGCGGTTCTATCGCAAGAAGGTAAACCAATTGCCTTTTTCAGTGAGAAATTATGTCCGGCTCACCAAAAATGGTCAGCTTACGAGCAAGAATTTTATGCAATTGTCCATGCACTCAAATAGTGGGAGCAATATTTATTACACCAAGATTTCATTATGTGCAGCGACAACAAAACATTACAGTATATTAATAGCCAGCGCACGGTGAACCGTATGCATGCTCGTTGGGTGATGTTTTTACAAAGGTTTTCATTCACAATTAAGCATAAACCCGGATCCAATAATAAAATTGCGGACGCTCTCAGCCGGAAGCGAATTCTACTCGCAAAGCTACAAACAGAGATCACGGGGATGGAGTGCCTTAAAGAATTGCATTTTGAAGATCCTGACTTTGGCATTATTTGGAAGCAATGCCATGAAGAAATAGGAGGCTCAGAGTATATGATAAGGCATGGATACGTGTTCAAAAAGAATCTCCTCTGCATCCCTGTTTCTTCCTGGAGACCTCAACTGACTCATGAGGCTCACGGTGGAGGTCTAGCTGCACATTTTGGCAAGGAAAACACACTTCAGCAACTTCAAACTTGTTTCTTTTGGCCCCGATTGAGGAAAGATGTATTTTGCATGGTGGACAGTTGTCCGATCTGTCAAGCTTATAAGGGTGGAGCGTAGAATACAGGACTTTATATGCCGTTGCAGGTGCTAGATTCGATTTGGGAAGATCTCAGTTTAGACTTCGTTTTGGGCTTGCCACGAACTAGGAGAGGAAACAACTCCATCATGGTGGTCATTGACATATTTTTAAAAATGGCCCATTTTATTTCGTGTAAGAAAACTTCTAATGCTTTGAGCATTGCAACACTTTTTTTTAATGAAACTGTTCATTTACAAGGCCTCCCTCGAAGCCTTGTATCGGACCGTGATGTCAAGTTTATAAGCCATTTTTGGAGGGAACTATGGAAACGACTTGGCACGGATCTCTGACTTAACTCTGCATACCACCCTCAATCCGAAGGACAGACCAAGGTCGTCAACCACACCTTGGGAAATATGTTGCGATGTCTGGTACATGACAATCCAAAGCAATGGGAAGAGGTCCTCAACAAAGCAGAATTTGCCTATAATTCCATGACAAACCAGTCAACATATAAATCACCTTTCAGTATTGTGTACACTAAACAACCTAACATTGCTTTGGACATTACTGTGTTGCCAAAATGCAAATCGTCGGTTGCTACAAACTTCACGAATCAATACATGAAGATGTCAGCGAAGGTTCGCCAACATATCATTAAGTCCAACCAACATTATAAAGAGGCTGCAGATGCTCAGATGCTCATCGTCGATAAAATACATTCAAAGTGGGAGATCTAGTCATGGTCAGACTTCGATGAGAGCAATTTTCACCTAGAACATACAATAAGTTGGCACGCTGCAAAGTCGGCCCATTACCTATTATCACTAAAATCAATGACAACGCCTACACTGTTGCCTTACCTGCTGATTGTAACACTTCTCCAACTTTTAATTTCTCTGACATTTAGGAATACAAACCTGCATACGATGCCAAGATCACACTAAGCTCATCAGAGTCGAGCTCTTCTGAAGCTGGGGAGGACTGATGCGGCGGAGCACGTGAGTTCGCTCGAACTAATAGAACAAGACACCCATAATAACAAACTCATACGGTGTCCACTACCCCATTTTATATTTTTCCTTACACTTTGTTATTTTTGGTTACTTATTGCTTTAGTAGACTTTGTAGAAGCTGGACCCATATTAGGATGAAAGGAGAGGGAATACATATACCTCATAGATAGTAGTTGTACACAGTTTTTACATATTTTTAGAAATACTTATAGTTCTTGGTTAAGGAACTTGGGCTTGTTCTATTTTCTTTGTGCTTGTGTTCTTTGTAGGTGACGGACATTTGCATCAATGTATGGCCTATCCGAGGTTGTATGTCAGAGCCCTACTCGATGACGTTAATCTGTGTGGAAGAGGTCGAGAGAATCCACCAAGGACGTATGACCTATCTGAGGTTGTATGTCAAAGCCCTTCTCAATGACGTTAACCTATGTGGAAGAGTTCAAGAGAATCCACCAAGGATGTATGACTTATCCGTGGTTGTATATCAGAGCCCTGCTTGATAACGTTAACCTGTGTGAAATAGGTCGAGAGAATACCCCAGGATCGATCATCCAATATTTAAGACATAATAAAGATTATATATTTATCGAATGAGATTATATCCATCAGTAATTGTTTTTAAAGAATGAGACAATATTAGAATAAATTGAATAACATATTATCACATTATGTAAGACAATACAATAAGTCCTCCCTAGTATGACTTAGGGAAATACAAAATATACAATAAATTGAACAACATTCATTATGTAAGATAGTACATTGTACTCAAAATATAAGATATATGTACGAGGACAACACAATGTTTAACTTAGAAGAAAATATTAGGGATATCAAGGTGACACCCTATTTAAAAAAATAAAGACACGATGAAGTAAGACAAGTACTATTAGTAACCCAAATGCATGAAGTGCATGGCCATTTAATTTCACCATCCATTTGAATATTATTCAACGATTGTCTATCCTTATCGGATTAGCCTCTTCATTGAGTTATTTGCAAGATTCAGTAGTGTCCCCACGACTACGGTGGAATTAACAGTATCGATCCTGATTTCTTGTATTCAGTTTCAAAGGATTATGCCACTTAATATTTTCTTGGTCTTGAATGGCCATCAGTACATTAGTTTGAGGTGCATTGAGAGGTGTATACTCTTCTTCTTGTCGAAACTCTTATCGTGGCAATGGAGGTCTAGAAGGTAAGTTATTCTTTCATTCTTTCTTCTACTGCGAGAATGAGTTATCCATTATAGGAGCATTTTTGTGCTTTTCGGAAGGTTGGTCAAATTGCTTCCTATGGGCATTGATCGCTTCAACTGCTAATATTTGTGCCTCCACACGATGGATCAAGTCAGCATATGAAGGAATTATGTCTCGTATAAGTGTTGAGTAAAAGAGAATATGACAAAGGCTTCCAAGGAAAACTCTTCTTAGCAATTCAGGATCTACTCCTAAAATTTATCAAATTTTCATGAAAAATCACTAAAAATACTCCTTTAGTGATTCTCCTTCATTATGGTGAATAAAAAAAGGTGGGAAGAGTCTCTAACCATCCTCCGATTGGCAATAAATTATTCGACAAATATTTTGGCTAATTTGTCGAATGTTGGAATGGATTTGTTGGGGAGTGAATAAAATCATGTTCGATCTTTCCCTTTGAGGGTAGCAGGAAAGACCTTACATAGGAGTTTGTCAAAGGCTCGCTAGATGTCTGAGAAGGCAATGGGCTCAGTTCGGTAAATTTCACCTTACAATGCTTGGTATGGGGTGGAGTTTATGTGCCTTTGAAGATATTAATGCTGTGGAATCAGTTATGAATAATGGGCCTTGGTATGTTAATGGGCATATCATAGGTATGGATAAATGGTCTCCTACGTTCTCTCCTTCTTCGTTAAAAGGGCTTACAGCTCCAATTTGGATTAGATTACCAAATCTACCTCTTCATTTTTGGGATGAGGTGGATGTTTGTAGGATCGCTTCACAGGTGGGCACCCCATACTTGATCGATGGAAGTATGTTTCAATGGAGTAGGAGGGAGTTTGCCAGAATTTGTGTCCATGTAAAACTGGAAAACCGGCTACCTAATGGTGTTTGGGTTGAGGGGAGTTATGGAAATTTTTTTCAAAATATTGAATATGAAAAGATTTCTTCTTTCTATTTCTCTTGTGGTAGAATTGGACACGTGAAGAAGGATTTTCCTAAGAAAAAGGCTGATGTGGTGGAAGTTAAAGGTGTACAGCAAGTTTTTAAAAGTATGGACAAATCTACTTTACTGAATAATACAGTAAATAATATTGACATGAAAACTGCTGAATTGGATACTCTTGAAGATAAATATGGACCTTGGGTCCATGTGAATTATGGAAAGAAGAAACCGATTAACAGAAGAAGACTTCCAGATTTTGTAAAAAGACCTGATAAGAAGATTGAAGTTGCTGCAGTAATTGAGAAGAAGAATGATACAACTACTGATAAATCCGATGTGGAGGAGATGACTAAGGTGCAATGCCTGGTTCGGGATTCTTCAGATCTCCTGAGGAAGTCTATAGCTGAAATTGGTATGATCTCTCCATCCAATAAATTTGATTACTTATGTGATATTGGGGAAGAGGGTGAAATTATTCAGGATCATGCTGATAATGGTAAAATATGTGACATGGTTACTAATAGTGTTGTTGAAGTTCAAAGCATTGTGGATAATGAGGCTGTAGATTTGAATATAATTCCTAATGGTAAGGAAAGTATTTTGGAAGGTGGTGGGGAGATTTTGAATGATAACTTGGAAGAGAGGGATGATAGCTCTACTTCTGTTAAGAAGAAGTATTCTAAACAGCTTAAGGGATTAGGTCTTATTAAGCTTTCTCTTAGAAATAGAAGATTTGATGGAGAAGTTAAAAACAAGGAGGGGAACTCTTCCCCTACTCTTCATTAAATGGCCTCTATAATTTTTTGGAATTGTAGAGGAGCAAGAAAGAGTAAAGCTTCTCTATACTTGAAGGAAATTGTGAAGGAGTATGGGGTGTTGTTTGTTGGTTTGTTGGTAACAAAACTAACTTCGGTTAGTTGGAATGAAATCAATTCTTTAATTGGTACTGATTGGGATTTTTTTATTCTCCATCTAATGGATTATCTAGTGGTATTTTGGTTGTTTGGAGATCCAACCTTGCTTCTTTGTCGTTATGTAAATCATCTTCCCAATGTATTATTGATGATTTAAATATATTGAAGATGGGGGTTTGGAGAATCTCTACAGTTTATGGTCACAAAGAGGTGGTTGGGAGGATGGAACTTTGGAGAGATATTGAATTATATTCTTCCAAGGATATTCCTTCAATTATAGGTGGAGATTATAGTTGTTTATTGGCCAAAGAAGATAAGAAGGGTGGTAAGAGATTTTTATTTTCTCAAGGCGCTAAGGATATGAAAGAATTTTTTATCAAAAATGATTTGCATGAAGCCGGTTTTCTGGGTCCTAGATTTACTTGGTGTAATAACAAGGTGGGTGGAGCTCTCATTTTGGAGAGGTTGGATAGGTGTTATTTGAATTCTGCTGCTATTGGCTATTCCTAGTTGATGGTGGTACGACATCTTCTGAGGATTGCATCTGATCATTGTCCTATCTTATTCAATCTTGTGAGTAACATTCCTAGAACTCAGAAATTTATTAAATTTGAAGATTACTGGTCTTCTTATCCGGTATCTACATGTATTATACGCAAAACTTGGAATAAAAGAAGTTGTGGTTCATTTGCTGAAATCGTTAACAGCAAGTTTAATAGATCCTTGAAAGCCTTATACTTTTGGAGTAAAGCAAATCTCAAAGATCTCAATGAATTGAAGGAATGTCTTAAGAAGGACATTTATGAATTACAAATGGAGGAAGCTTCTATTGGTTTTCTATCGGATGATAAGATCTTGCTTTTATGATCTAAGGTTAATGAGCTTAATAGTACCTTGGCTCAGTTGAATACCTGGTGGAGACAGAGAACTAAGATCAATTGGGAGAAGAATGGAGATAAAAAT